CTAAAGCTGTTAAAAAATCATAGAGTTCGCTAAACCCTTCACTCAATTTCTCTTAAAGTTAACAACTTTAAGAGAATACAATTATCAGAGCAGGAAATCAATGCCAGAATGATACTGTTAATGGAAGATGTCCCCAGTCTTTCTCTTCATGTTGTTTTTCCTGTTCCAGGTTCCAATCCAGGTTCACACAGTGCATTCAGTTATGTCCTTTTCATCTCCTCCGATCTATGACTTTTCTTCAATCTTTCCTAGCTTTTCATGACCTTAAGTGAATACTAATCAATTGTTTTGTGTAGGGAATGTTTGAGTTTTCTCACAAGTTAATTGAAGTTTTGAGTTTTGGGCAAGAAAACCATAAAAGTGATACTGTGTCCTGATTGCATCATGTCAGGGAGTACATGAGGTTGATGTTTTATTGTTGGTGATGTTAACCTTGATCACTTGATTAAGGTATGTCTGCCAAGTTTCTGCATCGTAAAGTTACTGGTTTCTTCTTTGGAATTGATTTAAAATCTTGTGGAAATATTTTGAGCAATGGTAATATCCTGTTTTCATCAAACTTTCAGCTGCTAATTTTTGCATCCATTAGTGGATCTTGCCTGCAGTTTATTGTGGTATTTCCAAGATGATGATTTTCTGTCATTTTTTCCCTACATTTACTAGTAAGAGTTTGTTAATTAAATTCTGTAAGGAAAAGCTGTTCCTCCTCATTTATGTATATATTTATAAATACAGGTCATTTTAATTTTATTCTGTGGGTTATTTCCAACACTATACTGATGATCATTATTATTTTGCTCAAATTTTCCAGCATTGGCCATTGGAGGCTCCTTCGGGCAGGCTCTTGTGTTTTTTTTTTTTTTTAACATATTATCATCCATTTTCACATACTGTTTTCTTGCTTTCTGAAACCATAAGACATTCTAGGTTTACTTTTATTTTTCTGCCTCAACACTGGGATTAACCTTTTTTCCAAGAAACCTGATTCCTTCTACTGAAGAATGGTATTTAGAAATCAAAATCTGGGTGTTAAGTGTGCCCATTGCTACTAGGATGTCGTTGTGCCTAAGCCCACTCAGCAGACAGAGCTAGGAAATCATGTATATGTGTATTAACCCATGAATGCACACATATACCTCTTTATTTCTGTATCTACCAATCTGTGTTTAAAAATATGAGTTATTTGTAACTTCTTTCTCTGACAGGAAGAAACCTAGTTCTCATTGTCTACAATATCTTCACGTCTTTGATTTTTTTCTGATAATTACACAATTACTAACTCCTACCTCTGTGCCCAAACCACTGTCTTATTAACAAAGAAATTCTTAATTTCCAGTGAGACAAACCTCTCCCATGTTTTCTACTTCAGAATTATCTTGACTCTTTTTGGTTCTTTGCTTGGCCATATACATTTTTAAAAACATTTTTTCAAGTAAAAATGTTTTTAAAAAAACCTGTTGGGCCAGGATCATGCCTATAATGCCAGTGCTTTGAGAGGCCAAAGCTGGAGGATTGCTTGAGGCCAGGAGTTTGAGAACAGCATGGGCAACATAGTGAGACCCCCATCTCTTAAAAAAAAAAAAAAAAAACACTTAGTCAAGCATGCTGGCACATGCCTGCAGGCCCAGCTACTCAGGACTCCAAGGCAGGAGGATAGCTTGAGCCCAGTAGCTCAAGGCCACAGTGAGGTGTGATCACACTACTACACTCAGCATGGGTGACAGAACAAGGCTCTTGTCTCTAAATTTAAAAAAAAAAAAAAAAAGGTAATTTTTATTGGAATTACTTTGAATCTCTAGATAAGTTTGAGGAAAATTCAATTTTAACTTTATTTTATGATGTAGCTCTATTTAGGTCATTTTTAACATAATTAATAGTTTCATCATTTTCTCCATAAAGGTCTTACATACCTTTTGTAAGATTTATTCCTAGATACATAATATATATATATAGATAGGTAGATATACATATTTTTTCTTTTCTTTTTTTTTTTACACAGAGTCTCGCTCTGTCGCCCAGGCTGGAGTGCAATGGCACAGTCTCAGCTCACTGTAAGCTTTGCTTCCCGGGTTCACACCATTCTCCTGCCTCAGCCTCCTGAGTAGCTGGGACTACAGGCGCCCACCACCACATCTGGCTAATTTTTTGTGTGTAATTTTTAGTAGAGATGGTGTTTCACCGTGTTAGTCAGGATGGTATTGATCTCCTGACCTCATGATCCATCCGCCTCTGTCTCCCAAAGTGCTGGGATTACAGGCATGAGCCACCGCGCCTGGCCGATACATAATATTTTTTTAACGTCCTGTAAATTTTTTTTTAAAGTACACTTCCTAACTACTGCTTGTGTACAGAAATGCAACTGATCTTTGTAAATTGATTTTGATAAATTCTTATTGATTCATCCATAGATTATTTTGTGTTTTCTACACAGATATATTAGTAAACAATGATAGTGTTATTCTTGTTTTGTTTCTTACTTTGTAGTTATAAGCCAAATATATATATATATATATATATATATATAATTACAATTACAAAATGTGAGTCAGGCTGCACAATATGCATAGAAAAAAAAACAGGAAAAAAAGCACAAAAATGGAAACAGTGAATTAAGTAATTATGGAGCTCTGATGTGCCTGCTCAGGAGAGAGCCAGCAGCCTGCATAGTTATAGACTAATATACCATGTTATTGTCAAGAAAACAACCTCTTAGATTTCTGCAACTTTGTTTTTCCAGTAAGGGAATGTATGCAATTGACCTGTCAAAGATATACAGTCATCTTTACACTTGATCTTAGCCAAAAAGCCACAACTGGTCTTTACTTCATTTGTTTTGAAAGGCAGCAAACTCTTAATTTTCAATACAATATATTTTATCCTCCTTATGAATTATTTATAATCGTTTCTTTTTAGGATGCCTTAACTCATGCTGCTTATTTCCTAAGGATAAACTTGAAATACAGACTAATTTGTAACTGGTACTGCACTCCCTATTTTACAGATAAGGAAACAGACACTTTAGAGATTAAGTAGGTCCTTTCTCTGATGCCTCTGCTGGCTTCCTCTACCTACTCCATAGTACCTTGTCTCCATCGCGACACTCATCAAAATTTTCTGTCTTCTCCATCATAAGCTCCATGAGATTTAGATCTTACTCCTGTTCCCCTCTGTTTCCCCAGACCTAGCACAGTAACTGGCATGGCACGTAGTAGATAGATGATCAATAAATAGCTATCGAATGTTGAATGAGTTTTTTCCTCTGTTTTGTTTCTTTTTTTTTTTGTTTTTTTTAAACGGTCTCACTCTATTGCCCAGGCCGAAGTGCAGTGGTGTGATCTCGGCACACCACGACCTCGGCCTCCTGGGTTGAAGCAGTTCTCCTCCTCAGCCTTCTGAGTAGCTGGGACTACAGGCGTGCGCCACCACACCCAGCTAATTTTTGTATTTTTTATAGAGATGAGGTCTCATTATGTTGCCCAGGCTGGTCTGGAATTCCTGGCCTCAAGTGATCCACCCATCTTAGCCTCCCACAGTGCTGGGATTACAGGCATAAGCCACCACACCTGGCCACAATCCACTTTCAAAAAAATCACAGTATCTGCCAAATTAAATGTTTGATTGATTGATTTTGGAAATATTCACAACAAAATTTGACTACATTTGGGTGAGAATTGAAAACAGTCGGTGAGTAAAGGCTCCTAACGAACAGTGTTTGGAAGCAAAATTACCTTTCTGTCCACCTTTTCTGGTATAAGGAATTTTTCATATGGTAAAACATTTTTTTTCTGTTATACCATTTAGGCCTGTTAGTATTACAGCATCTAGATGCTAATTAATTACATGTAATTCTTCATTGAGCTGCATTTATATTAAAAGAAAAGACAGATAAAATTAAGTCAATGTAATTCATAAAAGTCTCTATTTAAAGGAAGATTTCCTCTTTTAATCAATTATCTCAACAACAGCTTTATGTGCCTAGAACTACTTTAGATGTGTGTAGAAGTAATTTTATTGGCTGGGCGCGGTGGCTCATGCCTGTAATCCCAGCACTTTGGGAGGCCGAGGTGGGCGGATCATGAGGTCAGGAGATCGAGACCATCCTGGCTAACATGGTGAAACCCCATCTCTACTAAAAATACAAAAAAATTAACTGGGCGTGGTGGCGGGCGCCTGTAGTCCCAGCTACTGGGGAGGCTGAGGCAGGAGAATGATGTGAACCTGGGAGGCAGAGCTTGCAGTGAGCTGAGATCATGCCACTGCACTCCAGCCTGGGTGACAGAGCGAGACTCCATCTCAAAAAAAAAAAAAAAGAAAGAATTTTATTATAAATAGAGATAATGATACAGTATTAAAGTTTCATAGTTTCTAACATATTGAGAATAATATAGCAATCATGACTAATTCAGTTCAGTTTATTAAGTTGGTACATAAATCCGACATTCATTGAGGTCTGCCAGTGCTGTAAATACTGTGCAAGATGGTCACTGTATAAAAATGAGTAAAACACTACCATAAAAAGCTCACAGTCTAACGTGGTATCTTTGAACATTAATATATTGGTTTTTTCTTTTCTCGTATATGTTTTGTTGCTAAATTTAGGGTAAAGAAGGCTTACATTAATTTGGTCAAGAGCTGTAGCCCAAAGCTTAATTTTTTTCCAGGTGGCCTGTTGAAGCCATTAGCAGCAGCACTTTATATGCAAATAGAATTTAGTGAAGCAAAGGTCTCATACACTCAGCTGCTTTTATCTCATGTACCAGAATGTTCCCTGTATTTGTGTCAGGGATGGGAGGTGACGAGCAGTGTTATGAAGAAAAGGATATCTGGTATTTCCTCCTCATACTGTGATGGGGAACATAAAAAGGAAAAAGTGTCTGCTCTGTAAGTCTCTTCATACAGTTGGTACCCAGTGTCAGCTGACAGTGAACTCAAGTCTGTCTCCTGTGTGTATGTATATGTGTAAAAGTGTGTTAAAAGATTAATTTTTTTCTTCTTGGCAGGTGTCCTTGTAGACTTGGGTCTGGAGGAAAATGGGACAGCCCATCAGAGAGCAGAAAAATATGTTGTTCGTCTAGACAATGAGATTCAAACCAAGTTTGAAGTTTTTATGAGGAGAGTGAAACAGAACCCGTACACACTGTTTGTGCTAGTTCATGACAACTCCCATGTGGAACTAACGAGGTGATTGATTCAGAGTGAGCAAATGGAGTCTCCCTTCTACAGAAATAATTGTTACCTAATGAAATGTGTTAAATGTGGCCAGGCGTGGTGGCTCACGCCTGTAATCCCAACACTTTGGGAGGCCGAGGTGGGTGGATCGCTTGAGGTCAGGAGTTTGAGACCAGCCTGGCCAACATGGTGAAACCCCATGCTACTAAAAATACAAAAATTAGCCAGGCCTGGCAGCACATGCCTGTAATCCCAGCTACTTGGGAGGCTGAGGCAGGAGAATTGTTTGAACCCAGGCGCTGGAGGTTGCAGTGAGCCAAGATCACACCACTGCACTCCTGTCTGGGTGACAGAGTGAGACTTCGTCTCAAAAAAAAAAAAAAAAAAAAGAAAAGAAAATGTGTTAAAGGTGATTCCAAAGCCCAGGGACCCTAACATTTGCCATCTTCTTACTGGTAACCTTTTCCTACCCTTTTCTTGTTTCCTCAGCTTTTCTCATCGATTTCACGTTGGTTTTATGTTAACTACATATGTTGTTCCATTTTCATGATGCTGATAAGGACATACCTGAGACTGGGAAAATTTACAAAAGAAAGAGGTTTAATTGGACTCACAGTTCCTCATAGCAGGGGAAGCGTCACAATCATGGCGTAAGGCAAGGAGGAGCAAGTCACATTTTACATGGATGGCAACAGGCAAAGAGAGAATGAGGAAGATGTAAAAGCAGAAACCTCTGATAATATCATCAGATCTCATGAGACTTACTCACTGTCACAAGAACAGCACGGGAAAGCCCCGTAATTCAGTCATCTCCTACTGAGTCCCTCCCACAACATGTGGGAATTATGGGAGCTACAAGATGAGATTTGGGTGGAGATACACAGCCAAACCATATCTTTCTACCCCTGGCCCCTCCCAAATCTCATATCTTCACATTTCAAAACTAATTATGCTTCCCAACAGTCCCCCAAAGTCTCAACTCTTTTCAGCATTAACTCAAAAGTCCAAAGTCTCATCTGAGACAAGACAAGTCCCTTCTGTCTATGAGCCTGTAAAATCAAAAGCAAGTTAGTTTCTTCCTAGATACAATGAGGGTACAGGCATTGGATAAATATAGCCATTCCAAATGGGAGAAATTAGCTAAAACAAAGGGGCTACAGGCCCCAGTAGGAACTCTGTGTGGTGGGTCTGACCCCACATTTCCCTTCCACACTGCCCTAGCAGAGGTTCTCCATGAGGGCTCCACCCCTGCAGCAAACTTTTGCCTGGGCATCCAGGCATTTCCATACATCTGAAATCTAGGCAGAGGTTCCCAAACCTCAGTTCTTGACTTCTGTGCACCCACAGGCTCAACACCATGTGGAAGCTGCCAAGGCTTGGGGCTTCCACCCTCTGAAGCAACAGCCCAAGCTGTACATTGGCCCCTTTTAGTCATGGCTGGAGCAGCTGGGACACAGGAGTCCAAGTCCCTAGGCTGCACACAGCACATGGCCCAGCCCACAAAACCACTTTTCCCTCCCAGGTCTCTAGGTGTGTGGATGAGGGGGGCTGCTGTGAAGACCTCTGACATGCCCTGGAGACATTTTTCCCCATTGTCTTGGGGACTAACATTTGGCTCCTCATTACTTATGCAAATTTCTCCAGCCAGCTTATTCAGGGAAACTCCCCCTTAAAATACTATCAGATCTCATGAGACTTTTGCTATCACAAGAACAGCATGGGAAAGACCTGTCCCCGTAATTCAGTCATCTCCCACCGGCTCCCTCCCATACCACATGGGAATTATGGGAGCTACAAGATGAGATTTGGGTGGGGAAACAGAGCCAAATTATATCACTACACTCTGGATGAATTAAAGATTCCTGAAAAAATTTTAAGAGCTTGGTAGAACTCAGCTTTGTCAGAGAAAGGACAACAATAAGGAAGTTAGGATGAATGAGCTCCTGGAAGGGTGATGTGCTTCCCTCTCTGCCTCCAAAGCACTTTTCCATTTGACCTTGCTTCTCTTCCTTCCTCTCCCACTATTTCTCCTCTTCTTTGCCCTTCTCTTTTCCCTCTTGCCTTTAAAAGCAGTAGAGATGCACTTTCATGACCTGAAATCTTCCCCAGTTCCCCAGTTTAAACAAGAGAGTATCATATTTACTGGATGAAATTATTATTATTACTGAGATAGAGTCTCGCTCTGTCACCCAGGCTGGAGTGCAGTGGCGCAATCTCGGCTCACTGCAACCTCCGCCTCCCAGGTTCAGGCAGTTCTGTGCCTCAGCCTCCCAAATAGCTGGGATTACAGGTGCCCGCCAGACATCTGGCTAATTTTTGTATTTTTAGTAGAGATGGGGTTTCACCATCTTGACCAGACTGGTCTTGAACTCCTGACCTCGTGATTCACCCGCCTTGGCCTCCCAAAGTGCTGGGATTACAGGCATGAGCCACCATGCCTGGTCTGGATGAACTTATTAATGAAAGAGAAGTTGGCAGGGTGCGGTGTCTCACACCTGTAATCCCAGCACTTTAAGAGGCCAAGTGGATTACTTGAGGTCAGGAGTTCAAGACCAGCCTGGCCAACATGGTGAAACCCCGTCTCTACCAGAAATACAAAAAAATTAGCCGGGCGTGGTGGCACATGCCTGTAATCCCAGCTACTTGGGAGGCTGAAGCAGGAGAATCACTTGAACTCAGGAGGCAGAGGTTGCAGTGAGAGGAGATTATGCCACTGCACTCCAGCCTGGGTAACAGAGAGAGACTCCATCTCAAAAAAAAAAAAAAAGGAGTCAAATGTGGAACCACTTTTGCTCCCAGATCAAATTATACTAATTATCTGGTAGGGGACATCTTTGCTCCTATGGATTAAAAGGCAAATCGACAGGGGTAGGGAGTGGCAGATAGTCATCATGTATTACATATCATGGTTTGTCCTCACCATGTAATGGGGAGAGAAATTTCAGGCATCATCAAGCATTTATAGATTTTCTTTTCTCCAGGAGATGCTGAGGTTAAGAATCTGGAAGTTTTTGGTTTGTGGTAGGGAAATGTCAGAATTGCAAAAGCTCTTATTCAGAAGCCAGAAAGTGTTGGATAATCCTCCACAATCTGAAACCTAGAACCATACATAGGTATAAATAAGATCTTGTAGAACTTGTTAGATTTCAAAGAAAGGAAGGAAAGGAGAGAGAGAGCGGGAAAAGAAATTTTGCCCACATCTGTTCAGGTCTTGGCAGTCTTCTATGAGCAGGAATAGCTCATTGACCCTGTGTTGCCCAGGCTGGAGCGCAGTGGCGTGATTTCTGCTCACCGCAACCTCCTCCTCCTGGTTCAAGCAATTCTCCTGCCTTAGCCTCCCAAGTAGCTAGGATTGTAGGCACACACCACCACACCCAGCTAATTTTTTTTGTATTTTTTTTTTTTAATAGAGACGGGGTTTCACCATGTAGGCCAGGCTGGTTTTGAACTCCTGACCTCAGGTGGTCTATCTGCCTTGGCCTCCCAAAGTGCTGGGATTACAGATGTGAGCCACCATGCCCGGCCCAACTGCAGATTTAGATATCACTGGCCTAAATAACTGAGTTTGCACTTTGAGGTATATTGGGAATAAACTGAAAAGGAAAAGAAAAATACATATTCCTGAAATCTGTCTGAAAAGAGGGAATGTAAACTTTTTCCCTTCCGTGTCAAATTTTGGTTGTTTCTACTCTGATCCCAATTGAAAAGAGATAGGAAAATAAAAACTAAAACAGTATCTCCTTGTTAGGGTCTGATTCTGTATCTACTTGATTAAATGAGGTATTAATATGACTTTCAATTTTTCTACAGCGTCATTTCAGGCTCTTTGTCACATGGCGAACCCAGTCATGGACTAGCTGATAGGGTCATTAATTGCAGAGAAGTTCTGGAAGCTTTCAACCTCCTGGTGCTCCAGGTCAGCTCCTTCCCATACACTCTGCAGACCCAACAGTCCCGCATTAGCTCTAGCAATGAGGTTCACTGGATACAGCTGGATACCGGGGTGAGTCTCTTGCCTGCTGTCTGATACACTGTCATGTTCTTAGTTCCCCAGAGGGTAGGACCTTGTAACAAAATATGTCACGGCTTAAGATCATATTAATAAGAATTCAAATCTAATATAATGCTTTATGTAAGACTTCAAAAATCTGGCCGGGCGTGGTGGCTCACGCCTGTAATTCCAGCACTTTGGGAGGCCGAGGCGGGTGGATCACGAGGTCAGGAGATCGAGACCATCCTGGCTAACACGGTGAAACCCCGTCTCTACTGGAAATACAAAAAATTAGCCAGGTAAGCTGGTGGGTGCCTGTAGTCCTAGCTACTCGGGAGGCTGAGGCAGGAAAATCACTTGAACCCGGGAGGCGGAGGTTGCAGTGAGCCGAGATCGTGCCATTACACTCCAGCCTGGGGGACAGAACAAGACTCTGTCTCAAAATAAATAAATAAATAAACAAATAAATAAATAAATTTTTAAAAATCTAACATAATTCTGTATCTTCCAAAAGTTCCATATATTTACAATTATTATAAGACTAAAGTCTAGTGAATAGTATCCTATATAAATCTGATTAGGTGGTTCTTAGGTATCATGCAGATGCAAAATTATCTGTCCTATATAATTTTTCAAAAAGAAAATGTTGATGTTATCTGAGGCCATGATCAATATTCTGGATTTCCTTTGTGCCTTCATATGATTAATTTCACCTGAGGCCTGGAAATTTTATTGTCCTCTTGGATGGCCTTTTTGTCATGTTTTCGTCTGATGATCTGCATCACTGTTAATTACTCTCTTGCTCCTCCAGCAACTGGGTTTTGTTTTAAATCAGTTTTCACAGTCTTCTGTATGAAATGGGATGATGGCACTGTTACTTTAAATAACTCCATAGTAGCAGTGAATGTGTTGAGACTACCTGTCTCAACATTGGATATATCCAGGGATTTATAGTTTTTACTCCAATCTCTAATATTGAAAAATATTTTATATGACCCACAAACTGTATGCTAAATATACTATCAAAGAAAAGAAATATGAGTTTCATAAAAATAATAAAAATTAGCCATTAAGCAATGGATCCTTCATTTAAAAATACTGAACACACTGGATATTTTTAAATAACCATGTTTAAGTAAAAAACACCAAAAACATCTTACATAAAACTAACATTTATTTTTCAACCCAGTGCATTTTGTTCTGTCATGAAGAAGGTAAGTTTTCGCTGACTGCGCTCTTGTCTTCGAGCATTAGTTTGTTCCTTGCAAGCAGGAAGCTCAGGTCCTTGAATCTTCTTGTCTTCAGCAGTCACTGCTTTATGAGAACTAACTCAGTGTGTTCACTATCATTAGAGATTACTTTGAGCTTTTGCTTTGCTTTCTTGGTATCTTCTCCATGCCAGCTCCAGCCATTGGGCAGTCGAGGTAGGGGTGAGATAACAGAGCTGCCAGAGTTCCTTTGCCTCCAAACTACAAGGGGAGCCTATGGGCTACCCAAGTAGCTGCTGGGTTGCTCTGACAAAGAATGGGATTGCCAAGAGAATAAATGGAAATAATAATTATTTTTTTAATTAATTTTTTTTGAGTTGGAGTCTCGCTCTGTCACCCAGGCTGGAGTGCAGTGGTACGAACTCAGCTCACTGCAACCTCCGCCTCCCAGGTTCAAGCAGTTCTCCTGCCTCAGCCTCCAGAGTAGCTGGGATTATAGGTGCCCGCCACCATGCCTGGCTAATTTTTGTTTTTTTAGTAGAGACCGAGTTTCACCATGTTGGCCAGGGTGGTCTTGAACTCCCAACCTCAGGTGATCCACAAGCCTCTCAAAGTCCTGAGATTACAGGTGTGAGCTAAGAATAATTAATTTTTTAATCCCCCAGACAGTTCTCCTATTATACGTTAAATTTCAGTATATTGTTGGAGTGTAGAGAGAACTGTCCTAATTCAGTCTTTTCCAAAAGGGATCACACCCCAGTGATAGGAAGAAGAACCAATAGCTTCTGCCCTTTATTTTCTCCTACCATGAAATAGAGAAACAGGTTTAAAATAATTTTCCTTAAAAGTCATTTTAGCCGGGCACAGTGGCTCACACCTGTAATCCCAGCACTTTGGGAGGCCGAGGCGGATGGATCGATTGAGCCTAGGAGTTCAAGACCAGCCAGGGCAACATGGTGAGACCGCATCTCTACAAGAAGTACAAAAGTTAGCCAGACATGCATCTGTAGTCCCAGCTACTCGGGAAGCGGAGTTGGGAAGACTTTTTGAACCCAGGAGTTTGAGGCTGCAGTGAGCTGAGATTGTGTCACTACACTCCAGCTTGGGAGACAGAGCAAGACCCTGTACTAAAAAAAAACCCAAAAAACCATCATTTTAAGGAAATGATTAACTTTTAAGGTTTAATAATGGTATTACAGTTAGTTATTTATTTATTTATTTTTGAGTCAGGGTCTGACACCCGTGCTGGAATGCAGTGGTACAATCATGACTCACTGCAGCCTCAAACTCCTGGGCTCAAACAATCCTCCCACCTCACCCTCCCAAGTAGCAGAGCTACATGCACATACCACCACGCCTGGCTAATTTTAAAAATATTCTGTAGAGACAGTGTCTCACTATATTGTCCAGGCTGGTCTCAAACTCTTGGCCTCAAGCAGTTCTCCCATCTTGACCTCCCAAAGTGTTAGGATTACAGGCATGAGCCACTGTACCTAGCCTGTGGTTATGTTTCTGAAAAGGGTTCTTGGCCAGGCACGGTGGCTCACGCCTGTAAAGTCAGCACCCTGGGAGGCTGAGATGAGTGGATCACTTGAGATCGGGAGTTCAAGACCAACCTGGCCAATGTGGTGAAACCCCATCTCTACTAAAAATACAAAAATTAGCCGGGTGTGGTGGCGGGTGCCTGTAATCCCAGCTACTCTGGAGGCTGAGGCCAGAGAATTGCTTGAACCCAGGAAATGGGGATTGCAGTGAGCCGAGATTATACCACTGCACTCCAGCCTAGGTGACAGAGAAAGACTATCGCAAAAAAAAAAAAAAAAAAAAAAGAGGTGAGGGGCTTCTTAGACATATCTAGTGATGATCTTCTGGATTAAAGATATGATATCAGGTATTTGTTCAAACTAATTGAGAGGTGAAGAGTTACACTCTTCTTCAATTTAAGATTGAAAGAAATCGTCCCTGAAATTGAGATCAACATGGGATAAAGGGGAAAAAAATTTAATTTACAACAACTTTATACATGTAAGGGAGAAGTTCCTGATGGTTAGCATCCTTTAGTTATCTTGAAGCCTATATCCCAGGAGGGATAATTGGAAAAAAGCAAATTAGTTGAATTCAAAAAATATGATTGAGCACACTTGTGGACTTGTGTTGAATCTTGCAAAGAACACACAGAAAACTGATGGTTTAAGCTGAGCACAGTGGCTCACACCTGTAATCCCAGCACTTTGGGAGGCCAAGGCAGGCAGATCATTTGAAGTCAGGAGTTCGAGACCAGCCTGGGCAACATGGTGAAACCCCGTCCCTACTAAAAATACAAAAATTATCCAGGCATGGTGGCGGGCAACTGTAATCCCAGCTACTCGGAAGGCTGAAGCAGGAGAATCACTTGAACCCGGGAGGTGAAGGTTGCAAAGAGCCGAGATAGTGCCACTGCACTCCAGCATGGGTGACAGAGTGAGACTCCGTCTCAAAAAAAAAAAGAAAGAAAAAGAAAAAGAAAGAAAAAGACAAAGAAAACTGATGGTTTAAAGTATATATCTAAGTCACTATTATCCAGAGGAGAATAAGACAATTTCAGAAAATCAAAATGCTCTGGGAGTTGAAGTGAGGGAGGAGTCACATTTATTTGAGAGGTCCAGGGGAAGCTCCATGGAAAAGAGAACAGAGGATGATGGCCCTGGGGAGACAGGAAGGCCTGGGCAGGGGGATGGGGGCAGGAGGAGGCACTCCTGGCAGCGGACAGTGTGGGCAGGGGACACAGAGGAGGAAACTGGGCATTTTTCAGAGAACGCTGCATAGGATGCAAAAGCAGCCTGGAAATGTACACATGGAGGCTGTCAGTGCCAGGCTAGCAAAGTTTACACTTATTATACAGGCATTAAGGATTTTTTAGCAAAAGTATATATATATATATACACACACACACACACACATATATAGCATTATTATAATTTAGTATATAGTATATATACTATATATAGTGTGTATATATACACTATATAATTAGAATTAGTGTGTGTGTATATATATATAGCATTATTAGAATTTACCTGTTTCTTGTTAACAATGTAAAATGTTTAGTTTGTGATGAATTTTCACAAACTAAACACGCCTGTGGGACCAGCACTCAGATCAAGAAACAGAATCTTGCCACCACCCTGGAAGTCCTGTGTCCCTTCTGGGCACCCCCACTAAAGGGTAACACTATTCTGGCCTCCTGTACTACAGATTTGTTTTGCTCAGTATGGAGCTTATATAAATGGAAACATGCAGTATGTACTCTCTTGTATCTGACTTCCTTTGCTTAACATTTTGTTTGGGAAATTTGTAGTTTTCATGAATCGTAAATCATTCTTTTTGCTGTGTGTGTGTGTTACATTGTATGACTCCACCACAGTTCATGTATCCATCCTATTTTATTTTACATAGTACTGCTGTAACATCCTGGCACACCCTTTAGTAAATGTATGTATGCATTTCTTTTGGGTCTCTGAGAGTGAAATTTCTGGGTCATCAAGTACACATATGTTCAGCTTTAATAGCTACTGAGAGGCAGTTCATTCAATCTAGAGGCTAAGTCAAAGTGATTAGAAGTAGATCAGTCAGTGGCTTTTCTGATAATTTGGGTTAGAATGAACAAATACATGAATCAGAATGATGGTCCTGGCAATAAAATGGATGGCAGACATGGCACATTTTCTAGGATTTGTTTATTCAGGGAGAGGGAAGAACCAGAAATATTTTTCAGGTGTTACCTTTAGTTGGAAAAAAGAAGTTGAAAGGAGTTTTTTGTTTTGTTTTGTTTTTTGAGACAGAGTCTCACTGTCAGCCAGGCTGGAGTGCAGTGGCACCATCTCGGCTCACTGCAACCTCTGCCTCCCGGGTTCAAGCGATTCTCCTGCATCAGCCTCCTAAGTAGCTGGGATTACAGGCGTGCGCCACCATGCTTGGCTAATTTTTTATATTTTCAGTAGAGATGGGGTTTCACCGTGTTGGCCAGGCTGGTCTTGAACTCCTGACCTCAAGTGATCTGCCCTCCTCGGCCTCCCAAAGTGCTGGGATTATAGGCGTGAGCCACCATGCCTGGCCGGAAAGAAGTTTGATTTGTGGAGGGCAGATGAGACTGACTTTGAGTTAAGGTGCAGGTGAGCACACCATTGTGTAGATTATGTTTTTTTGTTTGTTTTGTTTTGTTTTGTTTTAACAAACAGTGATTATTGAGGCAGCTGGTGTGGTTAGAATCATGGAAGAAAATAACAAAGAGAACTGCCAAGAGGGCAGTGAGGCCAAGGGCCAACAAGTCATCACCACTGGCGTTGGCCTCAGGAGTCCTTGGTGACCTTCCAGGGAACAGCATCTGGAGAGCAGAGCGTTGGACAGGAGCAAAGGCAGAGATAGCAGCGAAAGCACTGGGAGCATGGAGGGTCACTGAGAGGGCAGGCCTTCCACACAGGGGAGTTTGCCTTATGAGAAGGGACATTCTCCCCCCAGAAATAGTGATTCAATAAGTCATACGATTTATGATACCTGAAACGTATCTTTACAGTAAAATCATTCAGTTTCATAACTCATGGTTTAAAGAATGGTTCCACTCATTTCTATTAAAACTTTTGTAACACAAAACCATAGTTACAATTTAATGCAAACAGAACAGATGGGGAAACCATTCACTGCTAATTCTAATTTTTAGTAGCTCTAGTTCCCAAAACCCATACTGGCTCTAGTTAATCACAGGCCATCTATTTATCAACCTGCTAAGAAAAAAGAGAGAGAAATAAAAACGAGGACAGGTGGATGCAAGGTGGATGCATCGTATCCAGCAGTTCTAATGCTGTGTCAGGAAGAGCAACAGGCTCGGAGTAGGATTTAATAATTTCCCAAAGAAAAAGGGGCCAAGGATGAGCAGGAAATGTGAAGACCAAGTGCACACTTCATAAAGCTTTTCCAAATGACTCTGTGTCTGCAGTCCAGATGAGGAGGGAAGCTTAGATGGATGACTTTTTTCCCCGGGAAATGACTTATTTGACACAGTTACCCAGAACACAGCTAAGCCCAGAACAAAATAAGCAAAGGCTTCTAGCCTTGAAAACAGATGTCATTCAATCTATGTCGTCAGTCTCCAGTATCTCTAAGAACATATTCTGGTGCTCTCATAAAGCCTGTTTACTCTCAAACCTATTCCCAAAAGCAGGGTTTTGGGGGGGCCTCAAAAAATTAAAAGCCTTCAGTTAAAACATGCTTTATTTTTATCTTATGGGCCTTATAAATCATACAGTTGTTTCTCTTTAGATGGTTACTGAAAAGCTCAGAACCAGCCGGGCACATTGGCTCATGTCTGTAATCCCAGCACTTTGGGAGGCCGAGGCAGGTGGATCACCTGAGGTCAGGAATTCGAGACCAGCCTGCTAACATGGTGAAACCTCATCTCTACTAAAAATACAAAAATTAGCTGGGTGCGGTGGTGCGTGCCTGTAGTCCCAGCTACTTGGGAGGCTGAGGTAGGAGAATGGCTTGAACCCAAGAGGCCGAGGTTGCAGTAGCCGAGATCACACCACTGCACTCCAGCCTGGGTGACAGAGTGAGACTCCTCAAAAAAAAAAAAAGCTCAGAATTTGGGCTACCAAATTTGTAGCCCACTTCTAACAAAATGTGCAGAAACTGCTGGCATGCATTTTAGGGAATACTTACTTTTTATCCCTGGCCCAGTCTTCCTTCTCTTACACTTGCTTTTTCTTCCTCTGATTGCTTAATTTATTTTTATCTTAATATATGTATATAATTTTTTTTTTTTTTTTTTTTTTGAGACTGAGTTTCGCTCTGTCACCCAGGCTGGAGTGCAGTGACTCTATCTCGGCTCACTGCAACCTCCACCTCCTTGTTCAAGGTATTCTCCTGCCTCAGCCTCCTGAGTAGCTGGGTCTATAGGCACCCGCTACCACGCCTGGCTAATTTTTGTATTTTTAGTAGAGATGGGGTTTCACCATATTGGCCAGGCTGATCTCAAAAAAAAGTGCTGGGTTTACAGGTGTGAGCCACTGCACCCAGTCTTTATCTTATATCTTTTAAAGCTGTCTTATTTCCTTTATGAGTTGGAGAGTGCTTAAATAAAAATGTCAACACATAATAAATAACAAAAGTGGGCCAGGTGCAGTGGCTCACACCTGTCATCCCAGCACTTTGGGAGGCTGAGGCCAGGAATTTGAGACCAGCCTGACCAACGTGACGAAACCCCGTCTCTCCTAAAAATGCAAAAAAAAAAATGAGCCGGGCATGGTGGTGGACGCCTGTAATCCCAGCCACTCGGGAGGCTGAGGTAGGAGAATCACTTGAAACCGGGAGGCGGAGGTTGCAGTGAGCCATGATTCCGGGAGGCGGAGGTTGCAGTGAGCCATGATTGCGCCATTTCTCTCCAGCCTGGGCAACTTGGTCTCAAAAGAAAAAACTTTGGTCTCAAAAAATAAAATAAATAAAGTAAAATAAACCAAATGGCACAGGCAACATAACAGCAAGACATGACTGTAAAAAACTAATGCAGAAAAGATGCAAAAAAACTATAAATAAAAACAGATTCATGAACTCAAAAAGCTTATTTAATATCCTGGAGCTTCTGAGTTTAAGGACAAGCAACTTGTCACACTTCTCAAGATCCTCTGAGGGCATCTTTGTGTCACCGCCTAAAATAGCTATTCATTTTCATAGTGATGACTGACTCATCAAGAGGGGGGCTACTTAAAAATACTGTGGGTCCTGTTTAAGGAAAGCGTATATTCCATTTTTAAAGTAAAATTTGTTTGCAAAGATAAGCTTTTATGAATTACCATTATGAAATGATGTCAGAAAAGTTAAAGTTTCTGTAACAGAGGAGTTTGTCAGTATCTAGAGTTCTGAGGAGAGCCTATTTATCTGTATAGAGAACTGCTTCCAGCAGGGAAAAAGGCTGAGAATTGAGGCTGTCTGACCTTGTGTATCCCAACAAAAGAAAAAGAAAACAAACCATGTGCCTGAAGGAAATGTGTCAACTTTCCACTAATCACATATTCAGTTCCTTTGAAATGAAAAGAAATTTCACTTAGTGCCTCAGAGATGACTGTAGAGTTGGTGTTGGGTTACATAATGAAACACAATATTTTTTCTTGTCAGGAAATAACCTCTTACAGGGACTCCCCCCCAACCCCCCTCCCCACCCCACCCCACTTTCTGGAAAACAAGACACTGTATCCTGTCCTCATTGGGTTTTTGCTCTGTATTTTGAACCAGGAGGACGTGGGCTGCGAGGAGAAGCTATACTTTGGCTTGAATGAGTACAGCAAGTCTCTGCAGTGGGGGATCACGAGCCCACTTCTGAGATGTGACGAGACTTTTGAAAAAATGGTGAACACACTCTTGGAGAGGTAAATAGTAAATAAGGCCTTCTGCTCTTCTCTCTAGCTGTACTTGCAGATCTAAAATAGCCAAAAGCCTTTTATGTCAGTGCTACAGGGTGTCTGATGGAGCCCTTGCAGATAATATGCAAAGGCCAAATTAAAACAGCCTTTCCTAAGATGCCCTACTATTGTTTTATGTGATCATCCAAGACCAATAAAGGAAAATACAACCAAAGTGGGCCGTTGCACTACTCTTCATGCTGAGTCAGCTTCCAGTCATGCTTCATTGCTATCATCAGGAGATGGATAGGGCAGAGAGAGATTTGTTTATTCAAGACCGGCTTCTGGCCGGGCGCGGTGGCTCACGCCTGTAATCCCAGCACTTTGGGAGGCCAAGGCGGGTGGATCACAAGGTCAGGAGATCGAGACCACCCTGGCTAACACGGTGAAACCCCGTCTCTACTAAAATTACAAAAAATTAGCCAGGTGTGATGGCGGGCGCCTGTAGTCCCAGCTACTCGGGAGGCTGAGGCAGGAGAATGGCGTGAGCTGGGGAGGTGGAGCTTGCAGTGAGCTGAGATCACGCCACTGCACTCCAGCCTGGGCGACAGAGCGAGACTCTGTCTCAAAAAAAAAAAAAAATCTCCTACCTTACACCTCAGACTTTGACATTTTTCCCTCTTTTCTCCCCTGTCCACCACAGGCAAGGACCCTAAGATGATTCAGTAAAAACTAAACTTTACTATGAGAGATTTGAAGTATACACTGGAAGAAATTAAAGAGCAATCAGATAATTGAGGTGAATTCAGTTCTTGGGGCGCCTCCTCCAGTCCCTGACCTTAGAGATTAAGGAATATAACTCTTCTGTCTTCTCTTCTTTTTCTTTAAAAAAAAAAAAAAAAAAAAAATCCCCAGTTCCAGATTAAACTCTGAAAGAGTTTTTTCTCTCTGTCACCTTGAATCATAGATTGAAAGGTAGGTAGACATTCGAAGTTACCTAACCTAATAAAGGTCCCTCTCTGCCCTCCACAATATTCTGTTTGCTCATCCAATGTTGGGGCAATTGGGCTTTATTTTATGAGGCCAATTCTAATTTTTAGTAGCTGTAGTTCTTAGAATGCCTTTAATTGATCATATTATTTAACATCTATTTAACAAACCTGCCCATAATTTTGCTAAGAAAAAAGAAAAGGAAATTAAAATGAGGACCTACGGATGCATGCTATTCAACAAATGATAATACTGCATCCGGAAAGAGCGCCGGCTCAAGTAGGGTTTGATATTTGTGCAGCTGTTGGATTTGGGAAGTCTTAACTGACACTGTGACATTAATCCTTTCACAGCACATGTAGTCTGAATTTTCCGAAGTCATTCCATGAGTACCCCCTCTAAGCGTTCCCACCCACCTGTTACATCCACCAGCTTGAAATGCATCTTCTTTTTCTGGTAACATCATTCAGAGTTTCATAACTTTTATTTTAAATGATGGTCCCATCAACTTCCTATTGTAGTTTTGTGCTACAAAAGTTGTAAGTATAGTTTAATGCAAGCATGACAGATTGGAGAAACTGTGCACTTCTAACTTCATGGTTCCTTCAGAGTATGAAATAGAAATGCTGGATATCAAAGTTACCATTTATTCTAACTTTGGCTTTTCTACATGGCCCAGCAAAAAAGCATTAAGCTTGAAACACAGATTATCTATACCTATTTCCTCCAGTCCAGTCACCCCAGCCTAATAGTAGCTATGACTTACTGAATACCTGAAGGGACCAGCCCAGGATTTATTGAACTGAAGGATTTCTTCATTTCTACCCAACCTGCTAAATCCTTGCAATGTGTGAAGACATTGCTAGAGACTGGATAAAATCTAGACCTAGCTTTGTCTCTGATCAGTTGTATGAACTGGGACAAGCAACTGAACTTCTCTCTGCCCCTGAACTCATTCCCTTTCTATGAAAATGCAGAGTGGGCTAGGTGTGGTGGCTCACGCCTGTAGTCCCACCACTTTGGGAGGCCAAGGTGGGTGGATCACCTGAGGTCAGGAGTTCAAGACCAGCCTGGCCAACATGGTGAAACCCTGTCTCTACTAAAAATACAAAAAAAAAAAAAAAAAAAAGCCGGGCGTGGTGGCAGGCGCTGTAATCCCAGTTACCCAGGAGGCTTAGGCAGGGAGAATCATTTGAACCTGGGAGGCAGAGGTTGCAGTGAACTGAGATTGCGCCATTGCACTCCAGTCTGAGTGACAGAGCGAGACTCCATCTCAAAAAAAAAAAAAAAAAGAGGCCAGGCACAGTGGCTCATATCTGTAATCCCAGCACTTTGGGAGGCTGAGGCGGGCGGATCACCTGAGGTCAGGAGTTCGAGACCAGCCTGATCAACATGGAGAAACCATGTCTCTACTAAAAATACAAAATTAGCTGGGCACATGCCTGTAATCCCAGCTACTCAGGGGGCTGAGGCAGGAGAATCACTTGAACCCAGGAGGCGAAGGTTGCAGCGAGCTGAGATTGTGCTACTGCACACCAGCATGCCAGCCTTGGTGACAGAGCAGGACTCCGTCTCAAAGAAAAACAAAAGACAGAGTTGTTCATATACAGGGCATCTTGGTCCTTTCCAGTTCTAAAACACCTCAAAAGTATTCATGTGTTATTCATTTGACAGCTGTCATTGGCATTTATTTGACCTGGAGGTTTTCTGTGCAAGGCCAGTGGACCACTTGTTGTCTTTTAAGTAGAATTATAGAATGGAACAAAGGTGAAATCCCCCATCAGCCTACCCAGCTGCTGGTGGCTACATTGCTACCAGATGGCAACCAGAAAGAAAGTGCACAGCCCCAGCCTTATTCTACCAGGCTCCATGACAGCCTTGGCCAACCTTGGACCCAGGGCCCACTTTGCCAGCACCTGCTTTCTTTCTTTTTCTTTTCTTATTTTGTCTTATTTTCTTTTTCTTTTCTTATTTCTTATTTCTTATTTTTTATTTTCTTTTGTTATGTTTCTTATTCTTATGGGAACCTCATCAGCTCCCCAGACTCTCACTCTGTCGCCCAGGCTGGAGTGCAATGGCATGATCTCGGCTTACTGCAACCTCCGCCTCCCAGGTTCAAGTGACTGTCCTGCCTCAGCCTCCCAAGTAGCTGGGATTACAGGCATGCGCCCGGCTAATTTTTGTATTTTTAGTAGAGATGGGGTTTCACCATGTTGGCTAGGCTGGTCTCGAACTCCTGACCTCAAGTGATCCACCCACCTCATCCTCCCAAAGTGCTGGAATTACAGGCGTGAGCCACCACGCCCAGCCTACTTTCTGTTTTGTAAAAAAATTATTTTTATTCAGCAGCAGAAGTACTGCTGGGCAGTGTGCTCAGGGTAGCCAAGCACCTGCTTTCTTGACTAGCAGCTCTTCATACCTGTAAGTGGGTCCTCTTTACCCATTCGTACTCATTTTGTCATCAGGCCTGGCTGAGGCGTAGCCCCAAAAGGCGAAATTTGTTTTCTGACTCCTCTATAATTGTAAAAACTGCCAATTTTAACAAAGGGATCCTCTTCCCTGGCAGTCCAGGCTTAGGGAAAAATGGTACCAAAGGCTGCTGCTACCAGGCTTAGACTTGCTTGGCTCCCTTGACGGAGCCAGGTCTCAGGTGATGAGGCTACAACACTAGGGGGTGCTGTTTCTCCAGTCAGCTCCAGGTTTCTCCAGCACCAAGGAACAGTTTATGGAAAGGTAGAGATTGCTATCTGTGAGGCTGACCTCAGATTAGTAATAATAATTACCCTTTTTATGTCTAATACTCAACAGATATTACACTAATGCCTCCGTTTCCTTTATTGTAATCTTATATATCAGAGAAATAAGTGGACAGTGCTGTCATTCTAACCCAATGCCACCAGCAAGAGGTGAGGATCCAGGGATTATCTATGATGACTATGGCGGCAATGAATGGAATAGACCAATGTGTCTCAGAATTTAACGTGGATGCAGTTCCCCGGGAGTCTTGTTAAGCTTCAGATTCTGATTAGTAGGTCTGGGGTGGGGAGATTCAGCATTTCTAACAAGCTCCCAGGTGCTGCTGCTGCTGCTGGTGGTCTATAGACCGCAATTTGAGAAGAGAGGGTCTCTAGACAATCTCTAAACCCCTTTACTATGCTGTACTTATCCCAACAGGTTGATTCACATGCTTTGGAAGCTCAGCCTTTTCCTTCCAGTGACGTGGGATCCCAGGTCATTCTAGAGCTAAAGCCCCACCACTGATCAGTAGCCCCTTCCCCACCATGCTTAATCTGCATTCTTACTGCACAGGCCTTGCTGCTCCCAGCTGGCCCTGCTGCCTGAGTGCTAGTGCCTTGTGTTCTGTCGAAGGTACCCCAGGCTGCACAGCATGGTCGTCCGCTGCTATCTTCTCATCCAGCAGTACTCTGAGGCTCTGATGGCTCTCACCACCATGGCGTCACTCCGAGACCACAGCACACCAGAAACACTCAGCATTATGGATGACCTCATCAGCTCCCCAGGCAAAAACAAAAGTGGGAGGGGACACATGCTCATTATCAGGGTGCCCTCGGTGCAGCTGGCGATGTTAGCCAAGGAGCGGCTACAGGAGGTGCGCGACAAACTGGGTCTGCAGTATCGGTTCGAGATCATCCTTGGGAACCCGGCCACTGAACTCAGTGTTGCAACTCACTTTGTGGCGCGATTAAAGGTTAGCACTGGACAGACATTTCTCCTTTAAAATACCATTTGTTTCTCTTTTCTAGGAATCCTACATAGGTGGCTCAGGGGCCGGAGTTTAGTCGATTTTTACACATGTGTAAATTTGATTTCCGTGACAGTGATAAGGCTCAGTGAAGGGACATACTCACTTTCTTAATTAGAACCAGTCTGTAAAGATTGCCCAGCCCCTTATAGCAGGTGCATGCAGTTGGTCTTCCGTGCTCTCCAACTGCAGGTGCAAAAAATGTGACGACCCAATTTGACCCCATGTTTATTGGCCTTGTTCAAGATGCATGTAGCCCACGGCCATCTGTTTTCTCAGAAAAAAAGGTAAGTTGTCCTCTCAGACCTCTGGGGGGGTAACGCTTTAAGTGTCCTCAACTCACTAATTCTTTTCTGTTCATCTAGCCTGTCTGTGAGCTCATGTCTAGAGTCGGTAAAGTATTCTGTTTCATCTTCAGTTCTCAGAACTGTTCCTAGCCCTCTTGCATGTGGAATCCTCAACAGTTTGTTGTTTCTTTGTACTTGCTTTGACCCTCAGCCCCAAGGCTTTGGCTGGACTGAGACTTCGCCAGGCACCCTACAGAAGGATTTAGTGCATGACTGAGTCCCTCACTGCTCCCGCTGCACGGCCAGTGACTGACTGCTTCTCCCCTTCCTCTCCTGTCAGGCATCAGGGTGGGAGGAGTAGAACCCTCAACCAACTAACCTAACTCGGTTTTTCTGGGCCTACAATCCAGTGGGGCCTAGCGATTAGAAAACAGTTAATCAAATATCCAGCTACATGTCAGTATGGAACTGAGCTAGTTTCTGTATGTCTGAGTTAGACCAACTTGTATCTGCACCCTATACATCAAATACTGAGCTAAATTGGGTTAAGGAAAATCTGGTTCAGCACAAATTTTATGAAAAGAAGGCACACAGTCTTGGGGGAATTTGCATTTTCACCCTGGGCTGCGGTTTCCCATCTGCAAGATGAGAGAATTGGGCTGTCTAATCTCTCAGAGTTCTAATTTGGGAATATTTATTTAGTGTTCAAAAATTGTTCTGGAGATGTAAATCTTTCTTGTGTTCAGTTACCTAACCTAAATTAAATAATCCAAAATGCAGACAAAATATCTTGTATTAGCTTGATAAGCAACTGGAACAAATAAAATCGTCCAAAAAATAGAAACTCCTATATTTAGAAGTTGTAACATTCATGTTTCATATATACACATTCACAATTTTATGTTATAGTCATAGACTACATTACAGTGGAATTCCTGGGATGAATGACAAAACTCCAGAAACGCTTCTTACAGTATAATTCATGGAGACATGAATTACGGGCTTGAGAGCATTTGAATGTTGCTAATGATGAAGAATTTGGAAAGGCGGACAATCAGCAGCACCACGCTGAGTCTCCCACACCTGTTGCCAGAGATTACCTAAATGCATGTGAGGCTGCTGGGTCTTCTCCTGGGCTCTGTTGACACTGATTAAGTGAAGCTACTTACAGAGTCTTCAGTCATGTGTTCAGAAGGGCCAGTCACTAGTCAGTATAAATCAGTCTGTCCTAAATAATTTACCCCTCTGGACCACTGTTGGAAAACCACAGTCAAGGCCTGAGGTTCTTCACCTGGCTGCTAGCTCATCAGAATCACCCGCAGGGCTTTCAAAGGGCGATTAGTTGAGGATCCCTGTGCCCTAAACGAAGGGGGCCTCAAGTTGTTACTTCTCAAGGCAGTGTTACTTCCTCAATTGGTATGAGTAACTGCCAGGCAACAAGTAAGCATAAGAGAGTCCTATATTCTGGCTGTTGTGATGGCTCATGTCTGTAGTCCCAGCTACTTGGGAGCCTGAGGCAGGAGGACTGCTTGAGACCAGGAATTTGAGGCTGCAGTGAACTATGATCCCACCACTGCACTCCGGCCTGTGCAACATAGTGAGACCCTGTCTCTTAAAAATATATAAAAATAAACAAGTCCCAAATTCTCAAATTCCCTGGATCACATCAGTCCTTTTTACACTGTATTTGTGTGGGAGTAAAAATATGAGATCATGTTGGGATGTTCACATCCTAAGCAAGACTGAATTGTCAAGTAGATTCTGGTTCACTCATTTATTTCTAAGTTACCAACCTCCTTCACCATTTTCAGGATGGCAAGATTGTGCCTGCTATCTCTACTTTTTGGTAAAATCCAACACTACTTCTATTATGTGATGTTATTTTTGTGCTTACCCCTAATTATCCTGTTATGTGTTGTGGTTAACTTACACTGATGATGACCCCTTTGGAAGGATACAGAGTTTAAGCCAGTTCCTCCAGAAGGCAGGTGAAGCTTTCATTAGATGTCCTTGGTCTTAAGCCTCATGTTATCCTTGAACTCAATGATCACCCCATCTTTTGTGTTAAGTGCTTCTGCAATAAAATCATCTTGTGGGCCTGATTGATGCACAGTAGAACTGCAGCCGTCAGTCATCAGAAGTAGCAATGTGATGGAAAAGCACTTTATAGTGGGTTTGGCTAGCTGTGGTTGGTCAAGAATAAAAGTGAGATTTGACTACTAATCTTCTGAAAATAAATATCCTCATATAGACCAGGAGCAGTAGCTCATGCCTATAATCCCAGCACTTTGGGAGACTGAGGCGGGCAGATCGCTTGAGGTTAGAAGTTCAAGACCAGCTTGGCCAACATGGCAAAACCCCATCTCTACTAAAAATACAAAAATTAGCCAGGTGCGGTGGCGGGCATCTGTAATCGCAGCTACTCAGGAGGCTGAGGCAGGAGAATTGCTTGAACTGGAGAGGCAGAGGTCGCCATGAGCCAAGATTGCACCATTGCACTCCGGCCTGGGTGACAGAGTGAGACCCTGTCTCCAAAAAAAAAAAAAAAAAAAAGTCCTCCTACAGTAAAACATTTTAACTGTTATTCCATCAATATAACCTGACCTCTTCCTGATAAAGCCGTGACCTATATGGAGATGGTTCTGGGAGATAAAACACATTCAGGGAGAAGCCCAGTGTCAGGGATACTGTGCGTCCAGTGTGAAGGCGATCGGTGAAGTGATTTCTGTTCCGGAATGATTTGCTTTAAATGACGCAATGTTATGGTTCCCCTTGACATGAAATGGTGTGGAAAATTAAATTTTTATAGAGCATTTTTCTTCTAGCATTAAAAAAATCTTTTTGACACACTGATTTTTCTAAAACACGGAAAGTCTGTGAAACTTGTAAAGAGTTACGTAGGTTCCCTATTTCCCCTTAGTATGCACAGATATAATAAAAGATTGGACAACAAGTAAAAGCCTAAGAATGGTTAAGCTTCTTCCAGTTTTACAAATTATAGAAATTTTATTTGAAGTGATTGTGGGAATGTTTATTACTAAAGACTGGCTTTTCTTTATTGAGCCTTTTATAGGCATCAACAAATCATCAATCAAACCCTATTATCTTTTGCCTGGTGACTTTCTTTCTATCCCATTTTGTGCTTAGTAAAGGAAGTACCAGTCTATTTTAAAATCAAATTGTATGCTTTACTGGCCAGGTGTAGTGACTCACACCTGTCCACGGTACTCCGGCCTGGGCAACAGAGCAAGACTCTGTCTCAAAAAAAAGACAAAAAAAAAAATTGTATTCATTACTTAACACCTTGCTTCTTAGTCTTTTCCCCTAAAGCATTATCAGAAATGTGCGTTCATTGCTTATAATAACTCCTGCTAGAAAGGTAATAAAAAGGATAGGTACATGCTACACACTTAATGAAAAGTAGTAGAAACCACCTTATCTACTTAAGAGATGGTCATTTTTCTTTCTGTTCTAAAATAGACACATCGGTAAGGTCATTTTACTTTTGAATATTTTTCAAATTGGTGGGATTACTTTTCATTGATATATTCATGTTTTCAAGATTGGTGTTCCATTTATTAAAGATACATGTGTCTACTTATATGTGTGTTTATATGAAAAATTGATACTTATTATTTGAGAAACCATGAGCAATTTACATTAGTCCTCCAAATGAGGGGTAGTTTCATTTTGTTGTTTTCTTCTCAATCCAGGTCTGGTTATATTTTTAGTCGTCTTGAGAGAGATTGTTTCAAGGCCCTAAGCCAATAATTGCTTGTTAGTTATTTTAAAAACCAGTAAAGCAAGAAGGAGGGAAAATAACTATCAAGAGTGGTTCATTGTTTTCATTACTTTCTTGGTGAAATGTCTGTTTTAATGGAATTCTGAGATTCTTTTCTGAGTCATTCACAACTGCAACTTTTTCAGTCTTCCAATCCCAAGAATTTCTCCAATATGTGAAGAAAGTATATTTAAGTGCCATGATTCAGGTAGTTTAGCCAAGATTTCTGTAAGATTTCCATCACTAGTGGGATATTTCACATTGTATGTGTTTTTGGCCTGAGGTATACCAGCATCTCCCGTTTTATCCTACTGAGATAAAAACTACAGCCCTCCTTCCTGCAGAAGTGCCTTGTATATGCGATGTAGTAGCAATCAAAATACACATACATACACATATATAAACACTTAGTGGAGTCATTTTAAAGCACGGTATGTCTAAAATCTGGACTTAGAAACCTATACAAAAGGTGGAAACTTAAATGAGAGTTTTAATTTTAACATATGCGTCTCTTGCTATAGAGTTGGAGAGGAAGTGAACCAGAAGAGTGGATCCCTCGGACATACCAAGATTTAGACGGTCTGCCTTGTATTGTGATATTAACTGGCAAAGATCCTCTTGGAGAGACCTTTCCCAGGTACAATTTCAATAATTAATTCCAGTTTTCATCAGTTGCCCAGCTGAACTGATGATTAAAACTTGGCTGATCGCCCAATCATTTCCTTTGTCAGGTAATGAGAAGAGGATTGTTTTATGCAGGGATATAAGAAATACAGCCATACAACCTTCTTTTATTCTTTTTTTTAGCTTTCCAGAGAGCATCCAGTAATGTTGGGAACAGGCGATAGCCACATTTGAGAAATGTCAGAGAGGCAGGGAGGAAAAGCAGGATTTTTTTTTTTTTTTTAAATAAAGTGCTTTGTCTTTGTTAATCTGCTATTCCCGTGCCCCTCAAGGATCAAGACTCCGTAGACTGGAGGGCAACAACAATAAAAGCATTAGTTGAATGCTCACTGTGCGTGTCAGGCAGCGCCCTGAATGCCTCACAGGTATTCAGTCCTTACAGCCACCATATGCGTCCGACACTACTATCCATTCTTTTTATATTCGAAGAAAATGAAGCACAGAGAAATGAAGGTCATAACAGCTAGGAGGTGGCAGAGCTGAGGTTTCGGTGAGGCGAGGAGCGAGAGGATTTAACGGCGCTGTGTGCTGCATCAGTCACCAGGGACACATAGACATGCGTGTGCCAGAGTCGCCAACACCACAGATTACTTTGTTCAGGTCTTTGAAGTAGCTGTGACCGCAAATCGTAATTGACGTCAAAGCTATTCTAAGCTCGCACGGCCCTTGCGAGCAGGAGGGTGGGTCTGGCATGCTGCGGTAATGTCTCTAAAAGGTCATTCTCGGACTGTTGAACGTGGAGACCCCCGGGACCGCTGTTGCCCTGGACCTCAGCGGGAAGGAGCAGGAGAGGAGTTGCTGTCAGTGAGACCGACTCCAGATGAAGGCGCGTGCGAGGGCGAGGCAACAGCAGCGCCGTCACAGGGACGCGCAGCTGAGCGAGCGGAGAAGAATTCAGGAGGGGTAG